CGGCGGGGTGGCTGGACGCTGGAGCAGCTCCCGCAGGAGAGCCCGGTCCTCCCTCCGTTCTGCCGCGATGTTGGCAAGTGCCTGGGTTTGCTGCCGGTGSAGCGCCGCGGTGCTCTGCTGCCTCGCCYCCAGGCCCTGTATGGCGCGTTCCAGGCTGCTTCTCCCCCCCATGCTCTCCTCTCTCCGTGTCCCTGTTCGGGCGCCACTTGTGGGATACTCGGCCCACTCCGGGGAATGACGGGAGGAGAGTATGGCTTGCGTAAAGTCTTTTATTGATGTTGCCTTCCTTGGCAACCCACACACACGCATATATTTGTCTCTGAATATCTCTCTTTATCGGGGTGGGTCTTTAAACCCGCTCACACGCCCGCACACGTCCGCCGCTCTTCCAGGTCTCAGGACGCCAGCCTACTACAAGAGGCAGAACCAGGTTACAAGCATGCTTTTATTGARTGCCCTGATTACCTGATTCTGCCCAGCTGTCGGATCACCGGCTGAGCCACTCCTCCCTGTTGTCCAGCAGTTGGCGCCCTAACCATACCCCACCGCCACAAACTGCAAATTACTTTATAGACTTAATCTTCTCTCTGATTAATTTGAAACTGAATATCTGAACATCTCAGGTGATGCACTGACCCGTTCAGATTGAATTTATAAAACCCTGTGACAATCAGCTGACTAATGGTTATTTTTAATCACTAACCCATGTTCATATAATTTAGTCAACTGCATGTGTGGCCTCCTGCTAGTGTAGTAACACACAGTACTAAATGAAAGATGAAGTACAAACTGGAGTGTTGACATATTGTTTGTGATTTGGCCTCACAAGCAAAAATTTGTTGTACTAGTTGCAACATTCACTATCAGTTCAGTGTGTTTGTGTGTGTTTGTGCACGTGCGAGTGTGTGAGAGAGATGAGCTTTCCCTCTGCTCCCACACGGGCTCGGAGAGAGATCTCTCTTCTGTATTGAAAACACCAGAAACACATCATACTGTGGCTGAACGTCTTAATCAGAGACAGAGCTGGTGAAATAAATGAGATCACTTTCATGCATCAACAATACATCAGAAATGTATTTTATTTCTCCAGGACCGAGCTTATCGATACTTCAGACTTTAATAATTGTGCCCAGGGGCCAGTTTAACACATGGTTTCAGTACCCATCCCTAATAAAGACAACTATCAACAATATTTTGTACGAAGGTTGATAATGTTTACTTTCATCTTGAGAAACTCAACTGAGAATGTGTGCTGTTTTCCAGAATCTTTTCTAAGAATCAGCTGGACAGGAATTAAACAGAATAATGTAAATGCATGTGGAACACATCTTAAATGTAGTCACATCACATCTGACTTGATCTTAACCTTTTCTCTCTCGCTGCAGAAACAAGTTCTAAACACAAGACTAATATATATTCACCTTTTACATTGAATTTGTTTCTGTCCCACTGATAAACATAAACCCATTATTCGGTCTCTTTTAGCTCCTCTGGGAAATAACTGACTCTATTGATGCTAAGTGTTCCTCTTTGTTTACCAGCATATGTTCACCATGTTCACCAGCTAGTGTCGGACTCTTGGTGCATGAGCACATAGTGTACACTGGGTTTTTAGAGCTTTCTGTCTGACACACTATGAGATCAGAACCAGAAAACTAAAGCTATCAGCCAGAGCTGAAACTATAAAGCACCTGTGAATTCAGGTGATCATTTTCATACTAGTGATCACAGTTTCAAACAAACTTTTCATAATGTTGTCACATAAAATATAAAAGTTGAAAAAACACATTTGTTAAGAAAGTTGAAAGATCACAAATCTATGCCAGATACTTTGAAAAAACTATAATTATATCATATAATACACCATGTTTATATTTAATTCATTAATTTAATAAGAGACAAACACTTCCATTGCAGTGTGTCACATAAAAGCATGAGTTTATCCTCCTTATTTCTAAAGGTTAAATCATTTTACTCATTTCCCCTTTTTTGTGTGTTTATCTTGGTATCATTCTGTTGTGATTATTATATATATATATATATATATATATATATATATATAATATCTTATTAATGTGATGTTGCTGTGAAGAAAACCAGCCTTTTTGAAGCCAGTTAAATGATTCTGTCCAGTTTCACTGTTTTTAAATTTGGCCTTTAAAACCATTTATGCACTGTTCTGTTTGTTCTGCGAAAGCTTCACTCCACCATTCATTACTGCAAAATAAATTAGAGGAGGTTTAAGCCTTAAATCATATTTGGGTTGTGACTTAATGTCTGAAGGAAAATATGGATCCAGAGGCTACACCAGTTGAGATCTGCTGCACCAGACAACCATTAGTCTTTCAAACCACTAAGTAAATAGCCTCCGCTGGGAATGATGAAGAGATGCTCATCAATGTGGAGATGATGGGACCCGAAGCTGTGAGTGCTCATCCCTCCCATTTCAGGCGGCTTGGAGCCTCTAGTCCCTCGTCTTCCAAGTGTTCACACGTCTGGAGCACGCCGCATACGCTACACGTCACTTATGAGGCACAACGAGATGGCAGCTCCATAGATTTTTGCTTAAATACGCTTGGAGGATTCCTTTAATAATTCATTGATAATGACCAAGATGAATTATTCAGAGGCACAAACTTTGCTTTAGTAAGCAGGATGCCAGGGCACCTGACATTGATGTACAATGTGAAATCACTTTTTATTAGCAGGGAAATTCTTCAAAATGCCTCAGTGAAGTTTTTCAGATGTGCTCAAATGCAGAGATTCACAAACAGCATGTCTTTGTATAGAAAAGTGTTTGAGGGAGTCTGGAGCTGGTTATCATTTTTCTGTTGAGGCTCGCGACTTGTTTGAAAACCTGAACCGTCTTCACCGAGGGTCAGATGGATGAAATAATGTCTTTATACTTTATTTAATGTTTGTATTCGAGAGCTGGCTGCAATATATATGTGAATTCATACAGAAAACTACGACACAACAGTATGTATGTGCTCCAGATCTATCCCTCTATTGAATCAACGAGCTGGGTGTCATATGGTTTTGTCCATATGCTTTTATATGTGCGATTAAAGAACCACATTGGCAAGTCAGAGCCATGAAATACTTGTATTCATACCTCAGATATATTCAGTCTTCAAAACATTTCTCAGATACATATAGTTTACAGCACAAAGACAAATAATAAGTTCTGACCCGGACCAGGACTTGTTTACCAAACTTGTTCACAGATGATTGTGATAGACGAATGTTTCTCCGTTCACTCTGGAGGATGAGGAGAGGAGCAGAGGTCTAATAAAATGAGTTGTGTTTGTTGTATTGTAGACCCACAGACCGCCCCCAGCGAGGTGGACGGGGTCAACCTGGAGGAGATTCGGGAATTCGCCAAAGCATTCAAGATCCGCCGGCTGTCCCTGGGCCTGACACAGACCCAGGTGGGCCAGGCGCTCAGCGCTGCCGAGGGGCCGGCATACAGTCAGTCTGCCATCTGCAGGTAAGGTCGCAACAAAGAGTGGAACAAAAAAACGGCTCATTATCTCTAAATATTCTAATTGTGTCAAACGGAAGATGATGAAGTTGTGTAACCTCAGTGAGTCGTCTGGTGCTCATAGCTGCCATCTATTTTTCATCCCATGTTTTCACAGACATTATTAAGGTATTAAAATACATAATTGACTTTCACCACTCTGACAAACAAAAGCTCTTATGTCTTTACTTACCCTGCGTCCTCTCACCCGCTGACATGACAGCCTTGTGTTACTTATGCAAAATACATACACAAGTATTACACGAAGCACTTAAAGCATTTAATAATTACTAAGGCCCGTTGCCTCTCACTCCGCCTGAACATGAGGGAGCTTGACGGTGATGATCTGTTAATAAGATTGCCATGTTTTACTGCTGCCACGAGGACAGTTTAGTCATAAATGGTGCGTTATATATTCATGAGACAATCAGACAATCAGTGTTTCATCCCCCTGTCGTTCCACTCCACTAACATTTTGCATGAAGACACCAAATGAGCTACATTTCCCTTTCAAGGCAGAATAATTGGGCCACATCATGTCCAAATATTAATTTTTTAAGAGAACTAAATAGCAAATCATTCTCGATGTAGAAAACGGTTTTGGGTGTAAAAGTAACTGTACAGTTAATAAATGCAGGTTTAAGTTAAAATTTCTTTTCTAAAATTAAATTAAATTACACATTTCTTTGTAATAAACAACACAGAACACAATCATAGCCAGTATTCACCCCCATTTTCAAAAATAAAATTTAATTTTAATGTTTAATGTTCTTCACCGATGACCTGTGCTGTTTATGTGACACGGGGCTGCCACGCACTTTTAAAAATTTCATCACATCAACATCAAACAGCCGATAAAATGTGAAACAGTAGAGCGGCTGGGGTTGTACGGGGCCCGGCCGCCTCCGCCTAATGTTTAAAGTCTTAAAATCACACATGAAATATTTACAGCCAGGCATAATTCAAATATTTATAATATACATTAAAAGCCATTAGCTTCAAAAATAAACACTCAGTGGGCTGTTATTCATGCAGTTAAGACAATTTTTTTTTGTTTGTGTAACATTGGACATGACATCCTGATGTTTTAAGTAGAGGGCCAAACTTCACATGCTTTAGTTTAGTTAACATCAACACAGACATGACGTTTGAAGAGAAGCGGGACGTCACAGTAGCTCAGGGGCTCCGGCTCTGAACCATGACAGAGAACAGACACTGACAGATGCTTCCATCTTGTCTCCTTTCATTGCTCAGTATGTTTCCATGCACTTTATTAGTTTATCTAAACAGGCACAGGCATTACATGAGGGCATCATCAAACCAATGATACGCCGGTCTGTCCTCCACTCGCTCGGGTTTGTCTTGTTTTGCTGATTTGAATTCAGAAACATTCCGAAGTTGCTTGATTAGAATTAAAGAAGATCGTCCAATTTATAATTTTAATTAAATGATTTAAGATAGAAAACTTTATTTACTCGTCTTAATGAGTCGCACTGCTTAGAATTCAGTGCAAACTCTTAGATTACTGTCCTCATTAGTTTAATCTTTAAAACGACACGTTTGACTAAATAAACATTACCCAAATTTGAACTTAATGAAGGACCAGGAATATACAGCTGATTAAAAAGGTCTCTAAGTAAATGATAAGTCTCTCACGGTCTCATATTCACTTATGTGACAGGATCTGGTTGTTATTTGATTAAATAAAGTTTTTCTTTGATTTTAGAATGAAAATATCATGAGTTAATGTGAATCTGATCATAGATTTTAGATCCCATCATCCAGCACTGATGTTCCTCTCAGGTAGTTCTCTGTGAACTGTTTAAAACTCTCCTTCATGGCTGTGAAGCCTCGGGCAAACTGTAACTCAGCTCTAAACATACAGCACGTCTGAGCACAGCTCCGAAGGTACTTTTAGGAAAAGACTGGAGGTGCATTCAGGGCCACTTCTCCCTTGTGCTGATGCACTAGAGGAGGGAGTGCATACCCCAGCTGAGCAGCTCTCAACTCATTTTAGTATCTGCAGTTCCTGTTGATCCATGAAATGTCCTGTCTCTGGTGACTCTTCATATTTACTAATGTATTCCCCGCAGTATGAATCTCTCCTCTTTCCACTATTTAGGGGGAGGACGGGGTTATAAATAATCCCTGCCTGTCGACAAGCAGGAATGCACCAACGAGGTGTAGAAACAGAGGAAGTTCATGCATGCATGGGCATCTGGCAGCAGCTCACCTCGCCATTAAAAATGTCTTGTGTGCATTGTTTGTTCCTCGGAGAGCTCTCTGCTGTCTTTCCATCAGCGCTGGCAGCTCAGGACTTTTTTCACTAAAAGCATCCACACACGTCACGCTGCTGTCTGTCCCATGAACACAGTCAGTCCACTTATCGATTTAATCTGGTCTGGACAACAGATCTTAAAGATCAGCTGATGTAATTATATATCTTTTGATAGTAGAGCGCAACTGATAAAAATTGTTTTGGGGGGGTGATGCTGATACCGATTAACAGCCGATATATATTTTTAAGTGGTTTCTAAGATGTCATTATCAAACCCTTATAATAATTATTTTACAGTTACATAGACTTTATTACAAATAACTGTAAATAAAAAGAAACACGAATACAATCAAATATATAGAACTTCAATCAAGAGCTTTTTTCATAAAATGGAAACATAAATCCACATCTTTTCTGCGTTGTTTTTCTGTGAAGTAAAGGTTTTCATACCGGTGCATATCGGCAAACAACACTGATTCCAATGTGTCTGTGAAAGACTCATACCGGCTATAACTGTACAAATGCTCATGGTCTAATTGATATACAAACCATGTTTTTAAATATATTTTAGTGGTGATTTCTCCATGATAAACTAATTAAGCTTCTGTAAACATGCTGAGCAGTTGGTTTAATAATTCACTTTGTGCTTTACATGGCTGGAACAGGCCCCATTACACACTGTTAGTTGTGGTGCTCATTGGGTAAATCATAAAAACAAACAGATCCAGTTTAATTGGATCTGGACAAGAAGACAAACACAACCAGCGAGTAAAACATGAACATAACTATAATGAAATGCAGCCTCACAGTTTAAATACTGCTCAAAACCCCCAAACAACATACAGTAAGTGGAGTAAGTCACACACTAATTAAAACAATCACATATAATGTATTATATAAAGAATATATTATATAGTTAAAGTATTCTTATTATATATATATACAATATCAGTAAGTAAAGTTGGATCATTTTAATAAACTTTAAATTCAACCTAAGCTTCATTTGTTTTATATGACATGAAACTATCATGTTTCTTTTTACACAACAGTTTTGAGAATTGTCTTTTTAAATCCTAACATCATCGTCCACGTGTCTAATCCACATAAACAGTATCTGTTCATATCAGACGCAGAGGCACCTGACAGAGTCACTGAGCCGCCAACGAGCCGGGTTATTTTAGAAAAAGCTTGATTCTCCATTCATACTTTGACTTGCTAAAACGCTTCGTGAAGTCAGAATTATATGTCATGCAGCCGTGGAGTCTCAGGAACTTTCAGGATTAGAGTGTGTAAATGTATTTTTATTAAATATAAAATGAGACGTTGTTAGAGGATGAAAGAAAGTTTGAAAAATGTATTAAATGTACATTTTGATCAATAATTCAAGCTCTTTTTGTAAATAAATGATGGTGCCATATTTAACTGCATGCATTAGTGCATATTTTTTGTTTTTTTTATCACTCGAGGGAAAGAAATTGAATATTTGACAGTAAATCCTGTGAATCCTGTTTTGTTTTTCTGTTCATTTCATTTGGAATTACAGTATTTAGGTAGATGTTTGTATGTTTTTTGGTTCAACTGGACTGGACTTTAGCCATTGGCAATATCTCCTTACTCCACTATTGCCAATTTGGGACAGAGATCCACAGCTTCCTCCAGAAAATTAACTCACCACTGGCAGCCGTCACCTCCAGCTGCTGCAGCTGAGGTGTTTCCAGGTATAGAACCCAGAAGGGTTTGGCTCGGATGTGAACCTGGATGCTAGTCTCAGTCCCAGTGGCATTCTGGTTGAGGAGAAGAAAAAGGCAGGCAGCTTATCCCTTGTTCTGGCAGGGCACCTAAGTAAGATTCTTTTTTCTCAATTCTCCCCAGACACACCATCCTGAGAAGCCACTTTTTCCTACCACAGGAAGCCCAAGAGAACACTATAGGTAGCAGTCTGACAGGCAAACTGAACCCTGGCCTTTTATATCCTGCCAGGTTTGAGAAGTTGGACATCACCCCTAAAAGCGCCCAGAAGATTAAGCCCGTTCTGGAGCGCTGGATGGCCGAGGCTGAAGCCCGCCACAGATCCGGCATGCAGAACCTGACTGAGTTTATCGGCAGCGAGCCATCAAAAAAACGCAAGCGGAGGACCTCTTTCACCCCGCAGGCGCTCGAGATCCTCAACAGCCACTTTGAGAAGAACACGCACCCCTCCGGACAGGAAATGACGGAAATAGCAGAGAAGCTGAACTATGACCGGGAGGTTGTGCGAGTCTGGTTCTGCAACAAGAGACAAGCGTTGAAAAACACGATAAAGCGTTTGAAACAGCCCGAACTCGGCGCGGCTGCACCAATGGACCCTCTCACCGATTCTCTAGAGGAGCTCCCGAAGTGAACGAGCCCTCCGACACCAAAAAAAAAAAAAAGGCAGCCATTAAAAACAAGAAAAGGTGGATGAACTCTCGAAATGAGAACTGAGAAATGTTCCCAGTCACCTGGACGGACAGTGATGAGTCTGCAAACAAAAACTATGTGTTGTCAGTGTGATTACCACAGTTGTGTAAATGACCTTGGCGAAACCAAAAAGAAGAAAAAAGAGATTAATATGTGAGAATTATGTAAAAACATATGGTGTGCTGTTTTCAAAGAGTTTTAGATTCTGGCCTGACGGACCAGACTATCGAAACCCAAATTTTGGTTCCTACCAGGAGGGATTTAATAAAGAGATCATACCAAATCAAAACACTATTTACCAAAGTCTGTTGCATCTGAGTACTAAGAATAATTTTGTAATGTAAATGTGCTCTAAATTTTTACATTTGTACTGGCAAATCTAAGCTATATGTGTGAGGTTGAGTATACATTTTATCTTTGTCTCGCTTACTTTTTTCTTCATTGTTTGTATGTAAATATCTAAAACAACAAAAAAAAAGAAAAACGCTGTCTTCAGATTGAAATCACACTGATAAAGTTTCTCTTTTTGGATGAAAAAAATTACCTTTGCTGTTAAACAATTGCATAATAATGTCGTTTTGCCTCCGATTTGTGTTTCATCTGCAGATATTTTCAGTGGAACTTTGTACGACTTTTACAGGTATTTATTAACGATCACAGAAATTCAAGGACTGTCACGTGATGATGAAGAGGAGGGGGAGGGGGAGGAGGAGGGTTTCGGTGTCTTGTCGAGTCGACTGCAAGCTTTGTTTTGAGCTAACGTGTCATCATTCTGTTGCCAAAGCCTGATAGCCAAAGAACACAAACATTCAGCTCAAGGACTGGGGAACGATTTTACCGTTTTGTTCACATGTTCACTTTCTACCCCCTTTTTTTCTGAATTCTTATTTTGTGTAAGTAAAAAAAGAAAAATCACAATGTCATGTCAAAGAGCTGAACTGTCTGCCGTCATTTTTTAAATCTTGGTAAACACAGAAAATTGGTTGGAAACATTTTCTTTTAATCTAATTTGCGTCTGCATGTTTCAACTCAAACCACGTGAAGAAGAATTATCACAGAAAGTCACTGAAAATATTTTTACACAACAAACCCTTTAATTCGGCCCAAACATTATGTAAACTTGTGGTCGAAGCTTTTCTTCTTTCGCCGCTGACCAAACTACTGAGCTCAAGTTAGTTCCGCTGTTTTTATAACCTGAGTATTTCAACTCAATTTTGCTTTTCACAAAGATGAATGTTGTTTTTTTTCATTTGTTCTCTATTCCTCTCAGTTGAGTGAAGATTTACAATCAGTGTTTTTAATGGAAATGTGTATGAATTCATTTCCACGACAGCAAAGTGTTTAAAAAGCTTAATCTTTCGCAGATTATCTTGAAGATCTCATGTATTTTTATTGGTTGATTTTCACGGGTAGAAATTAATTTTCACTTCACCGAGATGTGTTTTTTTTTTTTTTAATTGACTCCATCGCTGCAGTGCGACACGTTTAATTTCACTTGCTTTTGACTTTGTCAGAAATGTCAATAATCCAGGCGAAGGAAAAAAAAATAAAAACCCAGACTGTCACTATAAATATTTGGCTGTTACAAAAACCCACGGGAGAGAAAAAAAGAGGTGAATGTTGAGAAAAGTGTCACTTTTCAGAACAAGTGAACTTAATTTGAAGTGAGGTGAAATTTGATGCAATTTATTCAGAATCATGTGTCTGCTTGATATCTGTCCTTCCATGTCACATTGGTTATCTCAGTCCCTCAGTCCCCTGTGCACCGCTGTGTCCCTGCCTGGAAACACACACACACACACACACACACACACTTATCCTGAAACAGACTCACTTTTTTCATTTACATCCTCAGATTTGATTTTGGTAAAAGAATAATTAACTTCTTCAGGCAAATCTTGGGCCAAGAATTATGACGACCACCCGTCAGATGAATATATGAGGAAGCGGCAGCAGCGGATCAGTTGTGAGGCTTAACAATAAAAGCTGTAACCAAAACCAAAAAAAAAAAGATGTATAACAAACAGACAAAGAAAAGGAGTTATGCCTTCGCTCAACTTTTCAATGCTGGACCAAAGCTCTATAGTTATGCACATTGTACAGAGAAATAGATTCACGGTGTTGACAATCTTTAAAAATCCGAGATAAAAAAAAGAATTGAAGAGTAGAAATGTACAGTAGTTCATCATCCAAGGTTTACCTCAGTACTGTTCATGTGAGAATCTTACAGACGCCATACAAGCAGCAGCAGCAGGTCTGAGAGAAGACCGACAATGATTCTGCACCGTGTCGTCAGTGTTCACCTTTTATTTATTACGATGGGACACATGATTGTTTTATTTATGTGAAGTGGTCTCCTGAGCCACATGTGACTCTCAGTTCTTTTTTATTGTTGTATCGCGTTATTTTTCTGATTGGCTGTGACACCCACCTCAGTTTTCACACGTCTGTAGAGGAAGAGGAGACGGTGGCGATGTTGCTCTTGACCCGATTAGGACGATTTGTTCAGATCACCTTGAAATACTTTTGTGAAATTTTACTAAACACGGACAACCTGGTCTGACGTTTTTGTTAATAGTTGAAGAACTTGAAACCAAAGCTGAGGAGCCTGCAGAGGTTGGTTTTTGTTTTGTTTTTTTATAGACTGAAAACTGTACTTAATCTATAGAGCAATATCTGTTTGGTCAGTTAAGCAGCACTTTGTGTATTTCTTAAAAAAACGTTTAAAAAAAGCTTCAAGTCTGTCACATTGATTTGTACCATAATTAGTAATAAACAATTGTTTGACGAGTTTCGTGTCTTTTCTGATGAAACACAACACGACTACATATTTAGTCAAAGCTGAGTTAAAGGACTGTTGTCTGTCTGTGTCGGTAGGACAGCATGTTTTGTAAAGTTGTCCCCGACACCAGGACAACTACGCAGTGTTGGCTGTTGAAGAAGAGACATCAAATGAAACTTAGACAGACGTTAGCTGGATAAGTCGCCCTCGTACTGTCCCATTTACTGACATGGAGGAAGTGGGGTTATACTGGAGCCAGCCACCAGGGGGTGGTCAAGGTGTTTTGGCCACTACCATAGACTAAAGATGGAAGACATGACTGCTCCACGAAAGTGAAGCAAAAGCAACTTGATCACCACCGCCTCCTCCATGTTAGTGGGTGGGACATGGATCAAACTAAATAATCAAATGTTTCTAAAAAAAAATTTTTTTTTTTACATTTTAGGAAGTGATATTCTTTCAAATGTTCATTTTACTGATAGATTTGGTTTGATCCTGTAAAAATGGGGCAAATGTCTTGAGCTGAGACTGACTCCTGATTGGCTAGCATGTGTGAACTTACATCCGCTGATCGCTAGTACGCAGACACTGAATCCAAATAATGTCATCGGCGCAAGATGGCAGCGTCCAGGATATTTTGGCTTCATGTCTAGATAGTTGTGCAAAGCCTATTTGAAAAACGCTGAAGACAGATGATTAAAACCGAACTTATCAGAAAATAAAAAACTCTTTTAATAAGATCCTAAAGTCAGCGAAACCATCTTTGGGAAATGTATTTGTTGTGTACTCGTGAATTTTATATCATATGTCCCATCTGCTAACATGGAGGGGGCCAGGTTTATGACCTTTATTGCAGCCAGCCACCAGGGGACGATTTACTCCGCACAGCCTGTGTGTGGAAGATCGATAACTGCGGTTTGATCTATAATCATGAAAAGTTGAGTTTTAAAAAGTGTGATGTAAGGTAAATACTGATGTCCAGGTCAAGAGATGCTGTAATGCACAATAATTCTAAAAACATGGCCGACTCCTCTTTTCATCTTTTCAAGCTTCCCACGTAAACACGAGAGCATCAAAGAAAACCCGACATGTCCTGACTTTCTCTCTGCCGGGTCACGTCGGCACGGAGCTTCACATTTAAAGTGGCGTGCAGTGATTTGACCTTTGACCTCCGGTCGACAGATGAATGAACCCAACCGGCTGTTTGATGCGTCTGACGAGAGAAAAGTCGACCAAAAGGAATAAAAAGAGTCTCGCGCACAATATGCAGCAATTTATTTAAATTTCCTCGGGGTCAGTGGAGAAGAAAACGAGTCAGGTTTGCTCCTCATCAAAGCTTCATGTGTTTGCCTTCGCCAAATAACAACAAGACAAGTGTAAAGAAGGAGAAATATATAAATAAAACGTGGAGAAAGCCTTTTGAAACTAAACTCAAAAGTTTGATACAGCTTCCCTCTCCGTGATGCCTTTGAAAAAAACGGACAGGCAGCTGAAAAGAAAGTAGTAAATAAATAAATAATAATAATAAAAAGCACAGACAACATAAATTATTAACATTAGACTGAAAACTGATGTTCCAGATGCTTTTTCGTCTTCCTTTCAGCTCGCCCGCTCTCCCCCCTTCATTTCAAAACACTGGCTGCAGTTTTGAGTGATGATGGGTGAGGTGTGTGTGTGTGTTTGTGTGTGTGTGTGTGTGTGTGTACGCGCTCCGCCACGTTATTTGATATTCTTTTGTTTTCCACCCCCGCGCCATCTTCATTGTCTCTGCCATTAGCGGTGTAATTGTGCAGATGCAGCCCCTGACCCATATCTGTTTTCTAAAACTGTTTGTATTCTGCTGCTGATAAAAAGTTTGCTTTCTATTCTCTCTCTCTCTCTCTCTCTCTCTCTCTCTCGCTCGCTCTCTGTCTGCAGTAGCACACAGCAGTTTTTCTGATGGAGAGTAACAGCTCGGTTAAAAGAAATCCAAACACAGATATTAGGGCGTGAGTGTCAGAGCTTTTTTTATCAATCATTCTTGGATGTGAATCTGGTGAGAGCGAGTCACACGGAAAAGTTTTGTTTCTACTTGAGCCCAATTTTAGTTTCATAACATCTTTGATTTAACAGCATAAATACAAAGATGAATATATCACAAATAAAGTCTCCATATCTTGTTCACTTTGTAAATACATGTTTAATTCCATTAGCGTGAGAAGGTCTTCAGTTACAGTCTACGACCTAAAACGACAGTCAGATTTATTTAAGGTACTCAGTTTGTCCCATTCACTAACATGGAAGAGGCCGGGTTTATGCCCTGTAGTGCAGCCAGACAGCCAGCAGGGGGCAATCCAGATGTTTTGGCTTCACTTTTTGGGAGAGCTGTCGTCTTTATATCTTTATGTTCAGTCTGTGGTCAGTTCTGATGTGACTGATGGGGACATAAAGCTTCTCCATATATTTGGCTGAAATGTTCCCACGTTAGTTGTTTTCCTGAGGACGTGTTTCACCAACATCAGTCACGGTGTCAGCGGCTCAACGTCAAACTGTCTTAAACAAAACCAGATTTTCCAGCAGCAGCTCAAACGAACTTTATTCTGCTCCGAGGTCAAATTATCCAAATCTGCAGTGACAGAGATTTATTCTCTCACAGACTTTTATTTGCATGAACAGTTTGTCTGTGTATCAAAGACAAAACCTTTGTCCTTAAATATTCAAAGAAGATGCAAACCACCACCTCTGAACACTTTTCAAAATGTATTTTAAATTCGTAGTCTTCCATGGTTTAGTTTAGCCTGATCGATTTCCAGAGCTGCCACATTAAACATGTAAAACAGGCGAAGTGACCATTATCACTTGATTTAAAAAAGCTATTTTCAGACATGAACTGAAGTCTGAACATTTTCCTGAGCAAGGAGGAGCCATGTATGTAGAGGACGCTGATGAAGACGTGAAGAGATGACGAGGGTCTGGAGGGTTTTTAACGATAGACAGATCGTACCTCATGCTGCTCGACACAAACTCTCCGGAGTCTGACCCAAACAATCTCCTGATGCAAACTTTTTAAGTAGCCGTGGTAAAGAGTTGAGTTTAAAGTGCTTCACAGTGGATTCACAGACTGACAAGTCTCACTATGAGAAACTCTGGGTTCAAATGCACAATTAAAGACATGGTTTTAAGAAAACTGTTGAAAGATGAACTGAGAAGCTGCATTTTCTTCTTTTCAGTCCTTAGTGTTGTCAGTGTTTCTAGTAAAGACACGTTTTGATCTCTGAATCTTGTTTTTCCAGGAGCAGCTGAGGTCTTCTTCTTCTTCTTCTTCTTCTTCTCCTTCTTCTTCTGTTTTACAGTGAGTCCTTCTCTTTGTGTCCCTCCACCTCTCGCTGTTTTTTTCTCCTGACAGGATCAAAGCAAAGACCGAGGCCTCCGCCGACTGTCTGACTTGTTGAAATCAAACACTCCCGTTCAACCTGCAGCCACCTGAAATTGTCCTGCGCGACGGAGAGAGGGAGACCGGATAGAAATATTATGACATGTCTTCGCTCCAAATGGATTATGTTTCAATATCAGCCCGGACACAGAAACGCAGAGGTGGAGGGAGAGAGTGCATGTGTTGGATGCAGATGGTTTTAAATTGCTGCCTTTGTTTTCAATCAGGCATGAAGCATTCACTTTCCTTATCTTTCAGACAATGCAGCGGCGCGCGGTTGGGCTGATGTTCTGTGTAAATGAACTGTCTGTACATCCCTCACCCTCCCGCTCCTCCGCCTTCTTGTTTTCACTTCCTCCTCAAGGTTGAGATGTTGCTACACCGACTGTGAAGCTGCTCAGCCGTCTCCACACTTTGCTGCTCCGCACACCTAAATGCCTCCCGGGGTGTAATTACCAATCCTCACATGCAATCTGGGTCGGCCATGCATATGATCCCTTTTGCTTTTTCACCGTTGTTTCAGTTTTTTTCAGCGTTATTAGCAATGACTCTGTGTGAGGTGTTTGCAGGTGGAGGAGTTAATAGCCCAGTTCTTTACAGAGACACCTGTCTGACTTGAGCAGCTGATTGCATCAGCTCGTAGTCCATTTAACTTTGGAGCTTTGATTTGGGCTGTGATGTCTCTGTTTTCAGTTTCTCACTCACTGTTTCTTTCTCGTTCCTCAAAGTCTCAAACAGCAAACAGGTGAGATGGTGGAATCTCCTCATTCTGTTTACCAAAATTCAAAATTGTGATTTATCGTTTCTCTGATGTTTAAGATAAAAGACAATAATAACGTCTTTCATTTGAAACGGTCGACGTCCGTCAGTAAAATCTTTTTGCCTTTAAGTTTTCTGTTAATTTGATTATTGATCTTTGTTGTTATTGATCAGACTCATGCATCACCGAATCATACAAATGAGTGGATGATGACATTGACATCTTTAGGACCTTAGTGGACACGGAATGAATTTGTCTTTAAGAAGTTAAAACTCTCACTTTTTATTTGTAGCATTAAAGCAGCTGTCGTCATTATTTTTATATTAACAATACAAGAAATGTTAATCGGGGTTCGTTCATGGTGATGAACGTAAAGATGTATCGTCTAAATCTGCTGAAAACAAAAATACAACTTTTGAGGCAAAGTTTCATGAGCTCCAAATTCACAATTAACGATCCACTAATTGGTAATGGGGGGTTTGAGGTGTCTTGGGGTAACCAGGAGCCCATTGTGACAGAGTCCATATGGATACGGCCCTGCTTATATATAGTAGGACCAGTTACATGTTCAACTTCATCTAAAACACAGCATCACAACACATTTAGCTGGAAGCACATGATAAAAAGCAGCAGAAGTGGAATCGTTTCCCTCTCGTCAGGTAGTTTCCACCAAGAGTTTAGAAAAACCCTTTTGGCAAAGTGCAACTCTTCTGCGTGTGGGTCACCGCAGCTCTGAGAGCCGCCGGAAAATAACCGGCCCTGCCCTCCATCATCCTCTCATCCCACTGACCTCTGTGTACGCCATAGTATACTTACAGCACATACAGAGAGAGGGAGCGCAGGAAAGGGGTGGAGCGGGGGGGAGAAAAGAGAATGATTGCATATCTGAAGGCATCAGGAGAGCAGATATGGATGTTAGAGGAGTGACATGGTCGGACACATCTTGGCTTTCTTATTAGTGAGGACCTGCACGGACACTTTGGGCCTTTTTTACGGGGCCGTGATGAAACCCCCCTCTCGGTGCATCTGTGGAAAATGGCCGAGGGGAAATCACAGATGAGCATCACTCAAAGACAGGGAGATGTCAACAGGCCCATAATGATAGCTGATGGCCCCAGAACACTCTCCTTCTGCCTCTCAGCCTCACCTGCCCGAGTTGCACTATACTAGAAAACATAATTAGAGGTAAAACAGAGAGACGGAAGCTTTATCTCTGTGTATTCTGTAAGCAGCGCTCTTTGTTTTTATCCATCCAGGAGTCCTCTCTCTTTTTTTCTCCTCCTCAATCTCTCTTTCTCTTCATGGAAAGGAGGAGGAGGAGGAGGAGAGCTCCCTCTGTGAGATGCCAAGGTGCTCCCAGTCCATTGTGCTGCTGGCTGTCAGGTTAAATTAGGGAGTACAGGCTCCGTGAGTGTAAAAAAATCAATACTTGATGGAAGATTGCTCCCCGGAAAATCTGTTTTGATTCCAGGATTAATTCTTGACCAAAGGCTCCAGCAAAATGACATGCCATTAGCCTGAAAATGAACACATTCTGCAGTGGAAATTGGATGGAAATGTGTCAGGTGATTGCCCCGGCTGGTTGTTTTTGACTCTTTGAGCGAGCGGGGGGACTGAAGGTGTGGCTGCCGCGAATGAGGCCTCGGGGCCGACTCCATTTTCCGGAGCAGAGACAACTCCGCCGTGGCCTCGGAGTATTCTCAAGGCCATTGTTGTCCAGCGGCTGCAAATGCATTCCACCAAGGTGAAATGCATTTGCCCGCCACCCGGCCTCTCTTGTGTTTTCCATAACGCGTGGCATGAGGAATGAGAGAATCTGAAAATAAAACAGAGAGGATTTTCCCCCTCGTCTGTTCACCCAACAGAGAGAAGAGGAGAGTGAGATGCTTTATTGATGAGTGAATAATGTGTTTGTCGTGACGGCTGACGTCTCCTGTTTGAAATCTTAAACAGGAAGCTGTAAAGATGCACGGGACATTGATTTGAGCAGCCGGAGCGTTCAGGCTGCACTAAACATTTGTGTGAACGTCCAGAGTGGGAGGAAAAACACAACATGAGACATGATTTCTTAGACTCTGACATGTTTTCTGACCAGAACACGTCGGGTTCATTTAGAAGATTTCACTTCTTTTGCATGTTGTTCATCTAAAACACGGATGTTTTCATGAAGCACATGATGAAATATGTGTTTGTGGATTGTAATATAAAATATTGGGTGATTGATTTGTATTTGCTCAGATGAAAATCACTAAATCCAATCGAAAATAATTTTAGCCTCAGTTTTAATTGTTGCATTTCCTGAGAATATGAATCAATTCCATTTTAGTTTTTTTCTGATTTGCTTTTGATCCATCTGAGATCAGATGAATTACCCAGAATCCCATCATTACAAGTTGCAATAATTAAAACACTGACATTTTATTTCACACTATTTCGAGAGGCCATGAGAACCTTTCTCAACCTACAGAATAAAGATGGATTCTGTCATTTCATTTATCTAAACCTCTCAGCATCATGACTTTCAAAGAACTTTGTATTTACAGACAACAAGAGATGGAGGCTACAATGGAATGATTTGTGTTTTAGAAATGCTGATATTATTAATTTTATCATCATCATCATCATTATTATCATCATTATTATTATTATTATTATATTCGCAGAGTTGAATCCTGCAGTGAACCTCTGTGGACCAGTTTTACAGTGAGGCTTTGGCGCCACCCCCTGGATGAAAAATGCTATTACTTTTTATAATTATTATTTCCTGGTCCACCGCTAGATGGCGGTGTGCGGCAGCGTTCAGCTTCTCGTTCAACACCAACACCATAGAAGAAGTGTGGAGAAGTACACCCCAAAAACCAAATTAATATAGTTTAAATAATCTATTTTAACTTTACATTTTCCAGACAAAAAAACCTGTTACGAATGCTAAAGAAAGTTTTAACTGATGATGACTATTTCGTTTTAATTAAATACAGTTAAGTTGATCAAATTGCACATATCAAACAATTTGAAAAAAGAAATAGAGCAAGCGCTAACCCTAACCCTAAACCTGAAACGTACAAACATCGAGACACTGAAATCATGAGAAATAATAACGCACATTGTGCACAAATGAAATTGCATAAAATAATAATTAAAATAAATGAATAAATACTTAAAATTAAATGATTAATCGTAGTAGTAAGTTCTCTTTTAGTTGCAGTACAGGTCCACAGGAGTTTCGGGTTGTTCATGATCAGGTCACTCTGAATGTCTTTTAAATTAATATTATTATTAATAATAAAAAGTTAATACCGAACACAGTGTTTTCTCTTGTGATTTAGTTTTCAGGTGGATCTTCTGTTGATGTCGCGGAGTGATGGCGTCACCAGATCAGCTGACACGGTGCGGCAGACGCTCACGTGGTCTCGTCGTTCAGTTTCCGCAGAAACAACATGGAGCGTCGCTGAGTCTCGCTGACCGAGAGGCTGAAGATGTCCTGGCTGAAAGCTGCGGCCCTCAGCGCCGAGGACGTGTTCGACGAACATGGCGACGAGTTGAATCTCCAGAGCAAAGAGTGGAGCTCCAACATGAAGAAACGAGTCAAGGTAAAGTTTCCACCTGCTCCTCGTCCGTCACAGATCCCGGCGCATGTGCTCATCTGTGTTTGCTGCTCCCCGGTCAGGATGGGTATGTGGACGGGGTCGACGCCGGAGAGGAGGCAGCGCTTCAGCTCGGATTCAACCAGGGATTCAAGGAAGGAGCCGCTCGGACTGTGGCCGTGGGTCGTCTCAAAGGAATCATCAGGTAATAATCGATCATATCGATCAAGCTCTGCAGAACCTGAGTGAGTTTGATGTCATCACACGAAGAAAAGAAGCAAACTGACTCTTTAGGAGAAACTGGAAACAGTCATTTATTTTTAAAGATTGAATCAACAAGATGATTAAACAGGAGAGGAAATCACAAATAATTCAAATAAAGGCTGAATAATACAAAGTAAAATAATAGTGGGAAGATCAGAAACATACAATTGGTTTGTGTCTTTTGTTTAAACATCATCTTATCTTGTGGTTTATTATTTGACTTGTTTTATCTGCACTCTTCTGTGTGTGTGTTGCAGTTGTTCAGTTTATGAATATTAAGAACTGTGAATTATCTTGTCTATTTATTTAAACATAATAAGATATTTTAATGGGAAGTTATTTCGAAGTGTTTGTTAAATCTTTCCATGTTGAACTTTTTAAAAAGTCTCATGTTCTCCTGTAAATATTTCAGCCTCTTTCTCTCACAGAAACATCGTGAGTGTTTTTTTTGTTCGGACCATTATTGAAGTGTCTCTTCTGTCCAGCTCACGTGGGGCCCAGTCACTTCTCTCTTATTGTTTATGACGCTGCTGCCTCTTTGTGTCTCATCGCAGTGCTATATGGTGCTGGTGCCAGATCGAGCATCCGGACACCCCCGTCCCAGCCCGCGTGACTGAGCTCCTGCAGCGGGTGTCACAGCACGAAGACAAAATCACAGAGGGCATCAGGAAGGCCCTGGAGAATCCTCCCCCCAGCGTGAGCGACGTCTCTGAGAGCATGGAGGATCTGGAGGTTAAGCAGGCAGATCCCAGCTGCTGTGGGGACGAGGGGTGCGGAGAGGAGACGGACTGCTGCAGCAGAGTGGACAAAATGGACCAGGACGTTCCTCAGCAGCCACAGAAGCTCTGCTCTGGGTCTGCTGACTGCTCGTCCTGCTCCGATGAAGGACTGAGCCTCCTCCTGCAGAGCTGCATGGACGTAGTGTCGGAGCTGGGACTCCCGCAGGAGCTGCTCAGTCACATCCAGGAGCTGAAGAACATGTAGTGAAGCTCAGGGACCAAACTCAGAGGACGATACTTGAACTATAAACTTTGTAAAAAAAAAAAAAAAAGTGTAAATTTCTTACACTGCAATTAAATACTTTTGTTGTATATAATTTAAAATACATATTTTCATTAAAATATTTGCAGAATGTTTGAAATTAAAAATGATTTGATATAAAGTACTGTGTTTCTGATCTCACACTTATTTTGTATATTTCCCCTTTTTATTATTGGTGATAGATATTTAGCCACTCATTTGCTGTGATATGTTGAAAAGTGTTTTGAGCTTTTTCTTTTAGAGTCTACAACAAAAGTGGAAAACAACAGATTTTCCATCTTTGTTTTCAGACAAAATAATAAGTCATATTAGGGCTGAGTGAAATAGACAAAAAACAAATATCCTTATCTAAAACAGAATATAGCACCATTTTAAAGATAATCACTGGTTTGAACAGACACTTTGACTCGATCACAGCTTTAGAATATATCTAAACAATACAATGTCCTGTCTTTAGGAAGTTCTTGAAGTCTGCTGCTCGTCAGTGGAGACTGAAAGCACTGAACTACAGGTTCAGCTTCAGCATGTTTGTGGGCCTCCTGGCAACATTACGGGTGTTTTCGGTATTTGCAGCTTGGTTCGGTATTTGAATATGTGTTGTGACTTTTTGCAGCGCACGAGTCGTCAAATTGATGAAGTTATTTTATTAATTTGCACATGTTTTAGATTTAGTTTTTTATTTCCTAGTTGCATGTATTTTCTCAAACATTTACATAGTTTTTCTACTTGAACGTGTTTCTTTTATTAGCATGTGTGTGTATTTTATTAGCATGTGTTTCTTTTATTAGCATGTGTTTCTTTTATTTGCATGTGTGTGTATTTTATTAGCATGTGTGTGTATTTTTCTGATTTCTTTCTGTCTCCGTGTGTTTGCTTTCTTCGCAGCCTCTCGGCCACCGTAGCTCCACGCTCGGCGCACACGCACCGCGCTGACGTCATGACGCGGCTCGGACGGAGCCGTGACCCCGCTGCTCGGGCTGAAGCGTCGCAGATGTTCCGCAGCTGAATCTCCGCAGTTTGACGGAATGTGGCGCAGCGGCCTTTAGCGGAGCAGCAGCAGCAGCGGCGGCAGCAGGGGACCGCGGAGCCTGCGGAGCTCCTCTGGAGGTTTCACCGGAGTTTTCACCGGAGCGGCGGGTCGCTCCTCCGCTGTTTGTGTTTAGCTTCAGCGCAGCTAGCAGGCGAGCTAACTTGAGCTCGAGCTCCAGCTAACGGAGAGAAACCGAAACCACACGAGTCCGAGGTTTGTTTCGTGTCACAGCTGCCACTTCTCCATTCTGACAAGAACCGTGTGAAGCTACGTTTAAGATCCGTGTCACTCATCTGACATCTCACTGTGAATCTCAATTTTAGCCTTGTTACCACAGCAACATGTTTTTATCAGTACACCGTCACGTGCTGTGTGTGTATTGGTGTAATCCAATGTTCTGATCATGTGTTTACTCGCAGATTAAAAGTCTTAAACACAACATCACATATTTACTTTGTCTTTAAAGGTGCAGTGTGTAGAATTTAGTGATATCTAGTGTTGAAGTGTCATGTTGCAGCTGAACCCCCCCCACCCCACCATCTCCTTCTAACATGATAAGAAACTGTGGTAGACTTTAATTGTCATAAAAACTCAATGGATAATCGGTCAGATTAGTCATAAATGAAAAAACACCCAGAGCCAGATCATAGAGTTTTCTGTTACATCTCATGCTAAGTGTATCAGTAATTCACTTATTCATTCATGTTGTACATTTGTGCCTTTAGGTATCAGCCTTCTAACGGCACCTACATATGGTCACTTCCTGGCTTTAGCAGCAGCTTGACCCTCCTCACCATGGACTCCTGAAATCCTCAGGTTTTAGCGACTCGTCCGGTCGCTCTGCGCTTGTTTTGGACCCGAGGTCACTGTTCAGCCTACATCCTGACTGACTTCCCGAGCGAGAGGGAACGATCAGATGGGGAACTGCTGCTGTCACACTCAGAGTCCCTGTGGCAGCGTGGAGGAAAGAAGTGTTTTACTGAAAAATGATTCAAAGGCCACGATGCCCGCTGGTGGAACGGTCGTGGAGGGCACTTGTGGTCCCAATGAAGACGATGACATGAGGTGAGATAAGTGTTGTTACTTTGTGGTTTGGTTACTTACTGAGCTGTAAACAGATACACATGATTTCCACAATTGAATGAATATGTCCTGCAGGCCCGACCCAGGGGCCACCACCCACCTGAGTATTCCGTTCATTTTCCTATTGTGAACGGGTCTGACCCGAACAATCTCCTGCTGCGTTCTTCATAACTCTGGAAATGTTGAGGAGAAAAATCCAACTTTGTTTCAGAGAGGGTGGGAGTCAGTAAAATGATCTGAGCTCACTGTGTGACTGGATTTGATACAAGAGGCAAAGATCGTTTAAGTTTCCACCACTGACATCATAGCACACTTGACTAGTAGAACTGACTCAGCAAAGGAAAAGCTGATGAAAGACATTCATCAGAGACACTGAAATGTTTACTAAGACAGTTTGTCTTCTCTGTCTGTTGATGTAATGGATTAAAATGTTGGTTTGTAGGAAGAAGACAAATATTAGATGACAAACATATGCTTAAAGCTTTAGGGAGGGAATATGATAGCTTAGATTTCCCCATAAGTTTTCTGTGTATGTTGTGCTACGTGAACAGAGTAGAGCACAGAACACTGAGGTCTTAAATTGGACGAGGGGGTTTCCAGAGGTGGTGAAAGGTTTCAGAATGAGTAAACATAAGGATTTCTCACTCTGATGAAAGTTCCCCCCCACCCACAGTAACAAAAGTACCCTGAAACTGGTAACTCACCTATCTGCAAAGGGTTTCTGAACTTCCTTTTTACTCTTAAGTTATTCTAATATCACTTTAGATTTTGCTGCACTATCTGATATTCCTCCTCTTCTCTGTGTTCTGCCACTCAGGATAACCCATGACGAGGCTGATATAAAGGTGGAGGAGAAGCCTGAGCTCGTGCAGGTGAAGCAAAGTCCTAAGAACGGATTGACGGAGCCCAATAACACTCAGGAGAACGGACCCTTGAACACAGAGAGCCTCCAGACAGCAACTCCTTCCACTATATGCAAAGGGTCTAAACTCGAAGAAAACTCCACAAGAGCACAAGCTGAAGATTTGAAGGAACCTTCAGATGATGGCGAACAAGATGAACTTCTGAAAAGCACTTTAAACTCCCAGCAGAAGGTTCACACTGCAACTGAGTGGGAGGTTTTTACGGAAACAAATGCGGTGCCAGAAGAAGAAAATCCAGCCTCTGTGCAGGACAAAGCCCCAGATGGTGTTTTACTAACAGCCCAGTCAGCCAGCCCTGAAAAACCTCCACTGCCTCCTGAAACGACCTCAACCACTGAGCACGTTACGATGCGCACTTCTCACCAAGATGAGGAAGAAACAGGCTCCAAGGTTATGTTTGACGAAGCTGTAAACGAGCCATCGGGGGAGTTTTCCACAAATAGTGAAGTGTCTGTGCCAAACACTGAGCCGGCAGCTGCAGCTGGTCAGGTGATGTCCGTCCCTGTGGTCAGTCAGGAGGCCGATGGAGAGGCTCCCAGCTGGTGAGTCACATGACAGTATAAACTCTTTATGTATGAACTAAGTATGTGTATAAATGTATAAATTCACTACCAAGTATAGTGTTCACATGTCCTTCCTAGTTCTTTGTTGTATTTTTCACCTTTTGGATGAATTTCATCTAGATTAAAAATATAACCATATGAAGCCAATTACCATTTGATTAATTTATTTGAAAAAAGTATGTAAAAAAAAAAACAGTATAATAAAACTAGTATAATTTCTGTCCTGACCAAGACTCTACAACCAGAAACAAAATGTTTAGTTCACTATCATATGTGACCAAGGGACATATCAAATCCTCATATTTGAGAAGAAAACTGTAGATATTTGACATTTTTGCTTAAAAAAACTCAACTTTTTTTGGAATTGATAAACCGCCCCACGCAGCTGAAAGGCTAGAAGGTTTATTACACAGATTTTTTTATTTGGTCTTTACTTTTGTGTTTAAAATAACTTCTTTGTTCATCTTTGTTCCAGGTTTCATAGAAATCAGTTCAGTAGTTTTTGCTAAATCCTGCCGACAAACAAACAGGATTGAAAATATAACCTCAGGGGAGGTAAATAAAGTTCAAACTCAGCTCAAAGTTCAGGCCAGGTAAATTCTCATTGCTTCATTTCAAAAAGTCCCGAGCCAAAAACACCAGAAACCACTCAACCTGTAAACAAGTGATTATTTTTAGCAGAATATTTATATGGAGGAATAATTGAGGCCTTCTGGCTGTTTTTGCACATGCAATATTTTTACCACATGTCTGAGTCGGATTGGTCAACATTCAGTATATCGTGCTTCTCTTGACAGATTGCTGTATCAGGGTCACTGTCCCTTTAGTCCTTACCCTTTTTTATATCTATGGTTATATTAGATCCTCGAGAGCAGAGCTGCAAAATCAAGTGATTGAGACTGTTTTATGACAGTTACAGGATTTTAACCAACTTGATTTGTGAAGTACTTAAAACGGAAAAACTCCTGCGACCAGTTCTAAAAATGGTTTATCTGCTGATGTACTGTGTCGCATTACATGTACACAGAAGCCTTTGTGCAGTCACTGATGCATTTCTATCTTTCGCCCTGTGTCCAGTGATGTGAAGGAGGATTCAGAAGATGGCGGTTCTTCAGTGTTAAAGCAGGTCGGTCCTGAAGCGATAGAAAGCCACCATGTTTCTGAGTCCTCCCTTGGATCGGGATGTGACCGCAGCAGCGAAGAGCGAGATTCTGCCAAGTTCATCAGGGAGTCAGAAACCGCAGCTCCGGCAGACGCCACCGAGAGGTCAGTCGGTTCAGAGTCAGTGAAATCAAAACAAGACACTTGTTTGTCTTGTGTGGATATCTGTTGGTTCTCATTGTGACCACTGGGGGGTGTCGAGCAACCACAGCTTGTATTGGTGAAGTCATCCTGTGTATGGAATGAAAATTCTTCAGTTTTTCTCACTTTCTTCTTTTCTTTTTCTTGAAATATTTGTGTAATTTAAAATCTCTCAACATAAAATGTAACTCAAGTGGCACAGTGTAATTCTGTTGTAATATGAGTTTCAAATATTAGTGAAGTTAAATATTAATGTATGTAAAGCAGGAAAAGTAACAGAAATGTGTCACTGTCCAGCTCGAAGTCCGATCAGAGTGTCAGACCAGACTCTGAGTGTTTGGATACGAGCCTGAAGGATGTTTCTTCCTCGGAGAACGACAAACAAGATACTGGGGAGGAAACAATGCTAAAAGAGCAGGATAAAGATGGAGATGTTCCCCAAACGAAGGAGGATGATGTGATGGAGGAGGAGAATGCTCCCTCTGAGACTCCGGCTGGGAAGGATTCTGAGATGCAGGAGGTAACCGGAAAAGAGGAGCAGCTGGCAGGAAGTGCAGCCGCTGATGTCGAGGTTGAAGTTGAAACAGTCACGGAGAAGGAAGAGTCTGCCGAAGCTCACCTGCAGAACAGGTCTGTAAAGATCATTTCTGGTTGCGTCATAGTCCTGACTTTAATTTCACACGTAATGTGCTGTCCATTTTACAGTTGAATGACTAAGTTAGAGTGATAACGCATAAGACATAACACAGAGAGTGGCTGTTGTTAATCTTTTACTTTGAAAGATCTCACATTCTTTCCCAGAGACGGAGATGTGTTATTAACGTCTGTTTATTCAACACTGGGACATCACACAGTAGCAACCAATAATCTACAGTTTTCCAGAGAGTTGGGACACAGTCACTCATACATGAAGCGAATATCATGGGTCAAACTTTTGTCTGTCTTAAACCCTCTGTCCTGTCTGAAGCCTCTTGGTTTCTACTGAATCTATAACATGGGTCACAAATATATATAGTTCCTTTTATTATTTGTAAAACGTTTTTTTTAGAGCACCAGAAATTTTGTATGTAGGATTGAATCAAAGAAACTAAACTACACATGTTTATTGCAACTGAGGAATCGGTCACAGTGTGAAATCTGACAGTTGAGGTCTACGGCACAGAGGCATAAGTTGCATCATGCTGCGCCCACAGGGGAAATACTCACATATAAAGACAAACACTGTCAAGATACTTTGTTTAAGGTGTTTTCCCCTACAAAAGCAGTAACTACGCTTCACTACATTACACTCATAACTGAGTTGAGAGTGGAAAACCAGACAATACTCGATACATTACCTCTAATCCACCTACAACAAATTCAGATGGACACGGTAGAAACTTCAAATGTATTTTTTTTTTCTACTTCCACTGTTTCGTAGTTTCTGCACTTTGCCTTAGTAGGGCCGTATTGAGGTTGTGAACTTCAGTCACATGTTGCTTTTTCCCTTTTTAGTGAAGAAGACCTGTACAGAGGAGCGGAGGAACTCTCAGTGTCTCAACATAACAAACCAGGACCAACATCTGTGTTTGAAACTACACGTCAGTACCTTCAAATCAACCTCATTTAACTGCATCAAGGATTAGAAACAACGGCACCTTTGTTTTGTCACATAGGACCCACACAGTGCTCCCTTTGTTCCATCCATCACGTCTTCTTACCCTTCTCTTTCTCTCACAGTTTTAAAGGTCGAGGACAGATGCAGTTTGGCCCCAGCCTTGGACATTCTGTCGTACAGTGAGAGGGAGTGGAAAGGAAATACTGCCAAAAGTGCTCTCATCAGAAAGGTTGCTGCCTGTATCTCTTAGGAAGATGTGTTCTCAGATTAAAGCCATTTTTTTAATGTTTTCACGTAAATGACTTCCTGTGGTGTCCATGTCTGCTGCTACAGGGTTATAAAGAGATGTCCCAGAGGTTCAGCAGCTTGAGGAGAGTGAGAGGGGACAACTACTGTGCACTCAGAGCCACGCTGTTCCAGGTTCTGTCCCACAGCACCCAGCTACCTGCCTGGCTGCGGGAGGACGACGCTACAATGGTAAATCCTCACCTTTACGAGAACGCATCAGTTGACCAGTGGTTAAAGCTGCATTCCTACAAGGTTGACAGAATGTGGAGAGCGAGAGAAACACTCAATGGTCAAACTTGGGAGCGCTCATAGATTATTGTAGTTATACAAGAAATAACGCCTGAATTTGCTTATTTTGTGGTTTTAGGTATTTGTAGCTGAATTAATTTTACCAGGTGAAACTAAAATAAACAAACAGTTCATATGAAGCTTCTATAAAATGTTTGATACTCAGGATTTAAAGTCTGGATGATTACGTCAATGCTTCCTGAGCAAAACCATAACAGTCAGATGAGACGTGAGGTTATATGTCGTTGTCTGTGGAACAAACAAATCCTGTGGGTGTGTTTAAGATTATAGAGAACTGTGAAGATTTCCCTCATGTTTGTGATGCAACACTATTTTAAAATCTCCTGTAGTCTGAGCCCAGGTTGAGAAATTCCTCATAACTAAGAAAAAGATGCATCTACTAATTATAGGATACTTTTCTTTTTTTTAGAAGGAGCAAACCAAAAAACATTCCATATGACTGAACACTTTGTCTAACATCTGTGTTTTAATAACTTTATTGCTTCAGCCGCTGTTTATTCAGCTGATTTTTACAACTTACCACTAATGTATTTTGTTTCCAGCTGCCGGAGCATCTAGAGGCACAGGAAGGTCTCATAAGTCACTGGACGTTTCCTGACGAATGCCTGCAGGGAGACGGAACAGGAGACGTCACCCAGCAGCTCAAAAGCTACATGGAGCTTCTCCGAAATAAGGTAGTGGATCTGCTCGCAAACTCACGTATGGTGAGAAAGTGTTTTTAAGACACGGAGCGAGAAAACCACTGCACTATTTCAAGGCCTTCCATGTACAGTGAGAGTATTGATATTCATCAGCAGGGCTTTGGGAAGTGATTGCTTCCACATGTTAGAGGAAGGGCAGTTTTCTAAATGCTGCACGGCTCCTCATGACTTTTTTTTCTGTGTCATTAACAGACCTTTTTATACTCTAAAGGATTTGCAGGGAAAGACAAACCCTCAACCTCAAAGGCGTAGTTTCAACTGTTAAAACCGCAGTCGGTGCTCTTTACTCCAACAGTTTGAGGCCCGTGCTGAATTTATAGTCGCCTGCTGCCACTGGCAGCTTTAGAGGAGCTGGTGTTTACAGCACACTTTTTCCTCTTTTTCAAAGTCTGTGGTGTAATGAGAGGAAGCTGTGTGCTGCTGGTTCTGTGTCTGACAGTATGGATCATTTATATAGTTGCACTTAATGTGTACACGGGAAATGGGGGAAAAACACATGCAGCAGCCCTTTTGGATTTTTAGGTGATTTTTGAAAACTGATGTTTGAAAAAATCTTTTAAAGCCCCTTTTCTTCAGGAACTAAAGCCAACAACTGCTCTCCTCTTTTTCACATTCAATTTTCACTTCATCCAAAGAATTAGCTTAGTTTAAAATAATTTATATAAAAATGTTTGCATCCACGGAAACTTGATTAAACTAGAGTAGAGCACAGACCTTTGTCAAGACCAAACAATCCCACACGTCTTCAGCACTTATACTACAGAAATAAAACCAAAAAGATCTCAACACCATAAATAAGGGATTTTGTTTTATATCAGAATTCTTAAATTATTTCCTGAGTAATTGAGGAAAATGAACGTGCATCTTGTTTGCAGTGTTGAGGAAAGTAATTTAAAAGTTGCCTGGATCTGCCCCTTTCACCAGAACCGTGTTCCTCTCCGACAATCATCTCTCCAGAAAGTTTGCTGCAAATAGGTTCAGTACCTTTTGATTAATCCTGCTGTAATCCCCTGGTTCACCTCCTGGCTGGACAGACCACTTTCTGCATGTCACTCCCTCCTCTTCCTTCCTTTTTTAGACAAAAAAAGAATAATTCTCTGCCCTTCACTTAAGACTGTTTAATCCACCCCTCCAAGAGAATGTGGTTTTAAATCACCTTTTTCTCTCGTACAACAATCTGGACAGATACTGATGGGGCTACAGCTTCAACATCTTTCACTGTTTTACGATTAGTTTATTTCGGTAATTGAATAAGTACTCAGACTCACAGGATCTAAAATATCGTCTTCAAATTGCTTATCTCATCTAATGATTGTACTGTGACATTAAAGCTCAAATGGCAGCAAATCCTCACACTTGAAAATCCATAAACAGCTAAAGTTCCATGATTACTCATCAAAACAGCCTGATTAATGCCATTGATTTCTTCCAGTGGCAGGCAGCCGTGGACTGTTCCTCCGCTGCAGAGCGGCATCAGCTGTGCGAGCGAGTGTTCAAGGGTGGCGAGGAAGAGCTCGGGCTGCTGGAGGCGCTCAAGCTGCTGATGCTGGGCAGAGCGGTGGAGCTGCACGGCTGCATGCATGCCACCGGAGAGGTTCCGCTCTTCTGCTGGCTGCTGTTCGCACGCGACTCATCCGACTGCCCACGCTCCTTCCTCTCCAACCACCTCAGTCACGTGGGCCTCAGTGCCGGGCTGGAGCAGGTAAATCCACCAGGGCTGTTTCATTTGTTAATCACTCAACCATCACAGTTAAAGATTGTACTGGTTACAGTAAAACTCCTGTAATATTTTTACATGAATCTTTTATGATTAACAACTCTTGCAGTAAATGTTTGCTAAATACAGTTGTCACGCTCAGGGAAAAAACTAAACCAGCCATCAATGTGCAATGTCATGAGACTGGATGTGTAACATTCTCGGAATATGATGGCTGAACTTGTCAGCACTTGCACTGCCTTCTGTTTTTGAGCTGCAATGTTTCTGCATCATGAGATTTGTGAGGAGGTTTCTGCAAGGATGTGATTTTCCACAAAGAAACCCCACCCCATAAACATCATGTGTGTGAGCCTCTGATTAAACACTGCGTTGTTGGAAGTAACCGTGCAATTATCCCCTGCAGGTGGAGATGTTCTTGCTGGGCTACGCCTTGCATTGCACCATTCAAGTTTACAGACTTTACAAGGCCGACACAGAGGAGTTTGTCACCTACTACCCGGACGACCACAAGGACGACTGGCCTTCTGTGTGCCTCGTCACCGAGGACGACCGCCACTACAACGTCCCAGTGATAGAAGCTGCAGAGCTACACGAGGAGCTCGACTCGAGCTGACTCCGCTGCAGAACAAAAATCTCCTGCCATAAAAATAAAACACTCCTCAGGTTGTTCAAGATGAATAGATTTACACCAATTATAAGGATAGTTCAACATTTTAGGGAAGATGCTCATTTGTCTTTCTGCTCAGATATCTGATGAGAAGATGAATCAGTCCTGCAGGGTTTCTGATCCAACAGCCCGATATTCTGATACTGGTTTATCGGCCAATATCTATTTAATAAAAGAATTGGCAATGACTCTTAAGATGTCGTTACTAAACTCTTAGGACAAAGAGATGTAATTGATATTTTACAGTTTAACCTTAAACTTTATAAAAACTGTAAATAAGAAGAAAATACAACCAAATATATAGAACTTGTCTGTTTCCAGTCTTTATGCTAAGATGAGCTAATAAGCTGCTGGCTGTTTGTTCAAATGTACAGAAACAAGTTGTACCGGTCTTCTCATCTATCTCTGTAAGAAAGCAAATAAGCTTATATCCTAAAACGTTGGAACGATTCCTTCAAAAAAAAATATGCTGATCGAGACCCTGTACAAGTTGTGGTTTACACACATTTGTACACACTGTACTGTAAACAGTTTTCTATTTGGGTACATGTACATAAGTAAATGTGTATCTAATAATGTAGGGAACATTTCATTTGAGTTTTTGAAAGAGAAAATGCACTTTTTTTCTGAGCAGGCTTTTAGGTTTGATCATTTTCTCTTTTAAAATCCTGATCAAAATACAGTTGAGTAGCCGACAGCACCAAATCACCAGATGTTTGGTGTTTACACTGGAATTTGGGCACTTCAATTTGTGTGTTTATTTATTCTTCTTCATTTTGTAGTAAAAATGCTTTTTAAATGATGTATGACAGTCAGAAGTGAAATGGCTGAATTAGAAAGAGGAGTTTGATGATTTATCAGGTTTGCACTAGATGGTATTTAGGGGACTCTGAAGATTGATCAGCCTCTGTGTCAGAGGTGATGTGTGTGTGTACGTCTGCGAGTGTGTGTGTGTGTGTGTCAGTGTCAAACTTGATGTGTAACATGCTGCCTTTAACCAAGCTGTTCTGAAGGGACAAGAAAAAAATGTGCCAATGTTGCTTCAGACACTGGCAACAGTCCAAACCACCAGCCACTGGATTTAGTAGACAAGGCTCGCTTGGTCCTCCATGTTGCCTTAGAAATAATGCACAATAAGAATGAATGTTGGATGTTAGTGATGACGTGAGGCCATTTCCGTGCCCTGGTCTCAGAGCAGGTGATGAGTCAACAGTAAAACAGTGATTATGCCATTTTGCAGGAACGATCTTGCACTGTTAGACTTTTGGATGGCATTTAAAAATAAAATGGAAGTACAATTTTTGTAAAAGTATTGTTTGTCATTTTGACTCCTATCATCATCCATCGATCATCTATAAGGGTCCTTTCAGGCCATTCGGTGAGAGGTACTGTTTTTCCACCTTCAACATTTGTCTAAGTTCATTTTGTGGCAAAGTATTTTTCTACACATTTGACTTTTTATAAGTTCAGAAGAAAAAAATACAACAATAAAGTGAAGCCAGTGCCAACAAAGCCAAAGAGTTAATAACAAAGCAATTTATATGCCAAATAAGAATGCCTGTACAGTATATACAGTACGTACGACAGTCTGAATACTACCAGGAAAATGCATGGCAAAACAAAAGTAGATGCGACTCCCAGACTGCATGAAGAGTGAACAATCATAACTATTCTGTAACACGCAATGATATAATGAGGGATTCCTGACCCCTCTAGGCAATTAAATATACACATCGCATTACCTATATAAAACAACAATAATCTGTACACCATGGTATGTAAAACACGATTGCACAACCCAACAAGTCCCACAACATATCTATATTTGAATTCAAGCAAGGCCTTGCCACTTAATCTCGATAAAACAACAAAATAATGAACTCTGTATTTTGGCAACACCACAACCACTCAACAGATGTTTCATTCCCGCTGGTGAGGAGGAACAGTTCTCCTTTGTGGATTTCCCTTGTTTACCAGTAAACACATGAAAAGTGGTTAATACACCCGCTAATGTGATGATGCAAAACTATGAGAACTGTTGGAAAACGTCGGAAGACAAAGGTTTTTACTCTGATGGATGAACACTTGGAAGTGCATGGCTTTCTTTACAGTGTGCGTTTAAATGGTGTGTGGGTCGACACGATGAAGACCTGGACACTCGAACAAGAGTTCAATTCCGTTGAGAGGACATCCTAAACCAAATCATACTCGGGTCCTCTCTGCTCTCCAGCACCGTCACACTCAGCAGCCTCCTCTTCAGCAAAGCCCCATGTGGAGCTCAGCTTTACCTCCGCCTGCTGTCAAGAGTTCACTCTTGTTCCTCCTCCTCCTCCTCCTGGAGCTCCTCGATACTGTCCATCTGCGTCCTGGAGCACACCTCGCTCATCGGGGCAGAGTCCTCACCCTCCACCACCAGCTCATTGGACATCTCGTTGTTTCTCTGAAGACAGCACACAACAGAACGAAAACTAAATTATAGAAGACTCTTAAGGTGAAGGGGAACAGAAGCTGCAACACTGTGTAGTCCGGTTAAGACATTATGTGAAACTAACACTTGATAAGCTGCAAAGTGTAAGAACACAATAAAACATGGTGAGTCGTGCAGTCCTCACGTGATCATAGAGAATCATACACAGCCTCCTGAACCCAGTGACCTCCGCCAAGGAAGTTATGTTTTAACCCCTGTCTACCACAAAACCTGGTTGAAGGGTGCAGTGTGGTTCAGGGATGAAGTCATTAAGTTTGGAAGCGGATCTGGATCAAGGAAATGTTTCAGAGGGTTTCCTTTCTTGTATGTGTTCATGGTTCGATCACATTACATCCCCATTCAAACTAAACAGGATGATCATAACCGAGACACAGTTAAAAATGGCTGCTGACAGGATTTTCAAAAACAACACAATAGGGAATGTACGCTCGCAGAGACCTCAACGAGGTGTTCTCACCTGTTGTCGATAAACATAGCACGCTGCTATGGCAACCATTGCTGACTCCCCTATGAAACCGGCCAGGAGTGATCCAACCCCGAGTGTGGCCCCATGAACCCTGAAAAACAAATATTGACTTTTCAGCTGCATTTTATAAATTAAGTTTCTGGAGGTGAATTCATTTTCTTATCTCCCTCATGCTTCATGTTTTGAGGAATAATGCAACAAAAACATTTTACCAGAACACTACACAACACTAATAAATGACAGTGGGCCTGAGTCACGGTGCTGACCTATGTGACCCCGACAGTGTTCTCTGAAGTGTTGACTTACCCCATATAAGGCAGCACAACTAAACTGGTGATGAGGACAATGATGCGGAGAACCGAGCTGGGGGCCAGCACAAAGGTCTTTTTCAGGGTCATGAGCCATCCAGTCAAATGAGCCCGAACAGTCACTGCGAACACACACAAAGTGGAAACATCACCCCACCGGTCCGAGGTACGCCCCGGTTAAAGCCACAGCCGGAAGGAAAATGCAGCTGGAAAAGATTAAATAAAAGCCAGTGTCTTACCTGGCAAGGGAAAAAAGGAGAAAATTCGGAGCGGGACCACACACAGCTTAGCGAAAGCATAATCCACTCCAATGACATCAATGAGGATCTTCTCTGATACGTGTGGACTCCAAAACACCACGAAACAAAGCTGGACACAAAATAAGCAAAGGCAAATTATTTTTTGCGTCCGCTGCGCCACAATAGAGTCGCCCGGCACGCCTCATTAGATTTCATTAGTTCATTAACTCAAGGGGTTTCAGACTGAATGTCGTCCTTTGAAGCTCACACAAAAAAAGCGACGGAGCGAACACATGACAAACAATGTTATTGTTTCTAGAAGTGGAGGGGAAAATTTCCAAAGCATCACCGGGCTACGACTGTATGATCACAACACATCAGGGAGCGTTAAACAGAGGAATAAACTCGCCTGATCTGAATATGAACACATCAATTTGTTTAAAGCAAATGTATGAAGATGGAGTCCCTGCACTCCAAATCTATAAAAAACATGAGGGGCCCTCAGGATCCATAAAAGGTGCTTTTCTGGTTCCAGTCTGACTGACAACACCACATTTACACTGCTTGCGACTGGATGCTTTGATAGCTCCACTGGACTTCATCAGCTGTGTAATATCTGCTAAAAGACAAAGTGATTTTAATGGCCTCCTGACCGTCCAGCTGTCCTCACATTTGTACCTCCTTCAATTTCTACATTTGCTTCGCATAAAAAGCACTTAGGGTATTAGCTCCGCGGACTCCAAATGGCAAGCAGAAAAGCCCAGATGTCACTTTTCATTTCACTGGTGTACCACAAGAATCTAGGCTTGGTCCCTTTCTCTTTCCAATAAACACCACCTGGTTAGTCATACCACGGCTGTGCACAGGCCAGCTCCACCTCTCTCTCTCCAACAAATCATGATTGATGACTAATTAACATTCACTCAGTCTGATCCATCTGTCACTGTCGAGTCGAGTCGAACTACACTGTATAGAGCGTGTGCTCGAAGCCTTTTAAAGCGCTGGTCGTCTTGACTACTGCGACGGCCTTCTGGCAGGGCTGCCAGCGAGCTTGGTAACATGTCTGCAAATGGTCCAAAACGCTGCAGCGTGTCTTCAACTCGTCAAAAACATCCAACCTTTCATCGCTTTCTTCTGAGCGATGAGTAACCCAACAGTACAGTTCTACAGGAAGGAACTCTTAGTCCAAACTTTTCTCCTGTCTCGTCTCTTGATAGTTGACGAATAACCCAACTTGATTGGGTCAGCTTAATCTCCTCTTAATCCTCCTGCTCTCCATCTTCAAAACTTGTTTGAAGGCCAACTAACATCCTCTATGCACTGCAACCTTTAAAATATTTTGAATAATATTCTTAAAGAATTATATATTTAGCAGAAGATGATTAATTGCACAAAAGCATTTAATTCAGTGTTGTTAATGCTTTTTGATCTCCTGAATCCAACGGATAGGAAAAGATTACTTGTGAATGATGATTTCATTTGGTATCACTTCACCATCATTATTTTAGCAAGATGTCATAATAACTAATTTGTATTGCTCAACTGACACCACTGTCTCCCCTGACTCAGCTGAGGTTTAGTCTAAACGGTGGTGAGAGATATCCTGACTCACTGCCTCCGAATCCTCAACATCTGTTTTCATAAGATGAAATTTGTTTGTCACAGTACATTCCACATTTCCCTTCGTCTTCCTGCTCTCTGCTGCTTTTCGTGCCGTTGTCCTTCCTCCATCAGGACATGCCCAGGCAGGCACGAGGGCCGTCAGCTTGTGTTTTCAACTCTGCCAGGCCATACCTATCTGCCTGTTGCTGCGTGCTGAACACACACCCTCACATACATGTTTACAACCTTGGGCTTCCACATCTGGTGTGCCACTCTCCTTCTCCTCCTCCTCCTTCTCCTCCTCCTCCTCCTCCTCCTCCTCAAAAAAAGGCCCAACCTTGGCCGCACACACTTCCTGTTTTTCTTATTTAAGCTCTTAGGATAACTATCTGGGGCAAAGGCACCATTTTACTTTCATATTAATTCACTTTGGATCATTTAAAATTGACAAGAAGGCAGATATAATAAACACTGTATTATATTATGTTCTTGCAGATCTGCTGGCGTAGTTATTAAAACATTTATTCCAAAACAAAATCGCTCAGCACACATAATGTGACTGCCGCGCTCATTACTTAACAGAAAAGTAAACCTGCAAGGGGCTTTAAAAGTGTGTTAACTGAGAGGTTTTATGTGAATGCCTATTTTATTAAGCTCCTAAAGCCTGGGTGGGAGTGTTGAGGGGACAAAAGCCCCTTTGCGTCTTCACAAATTCCACCTTACTGTGTCTCCCTCCCTGTGCAACCTGAAACCACAACATGACAGCAAAGGAAAAGTACATTCAGTGAGCCTGCACCCAAACCCGTCACTTTGAACATTAGCCTGCAGCTGAACCAGCAGAACTGAATACATAAAACATGAGAAACCTGAGACTTTTCATAGAATTTCAAAATTTTGCCAGTTTCTAAAAAAACATTGATGTTTTCGTGGAAAACCTTTGACCAAGTTTTGAAAAAACTCCAACCACATGTTTTTTCCCTGTAACACTGAACCAGTTAGGTCAGAATCCTGACAGAGACAAAGTATGTGAAAACACAACACAAATAATCTGATAGTGCCACAGCACATCTGCTGTCACAAAATATGCGTGTCTGACATTATGATGCATGTTTGAAAGAAAAAAGGTGTTAAGCATATAAGGTTTTGCAGGAAGCCATGAAAGGACAACTGACACCTACTGACGGAAAGGTCATGTCTCAATGAAGGACACCTGAGATTGTAAACAAATGCAGCGCAAGAGAGGGGCTGCCTATTACCAAAATGAAAATTGAAACTTCACCCTGGCTGTGTCATTTATTAAAGTGGCTCTACAAGTTTGACTAACACGGTGTCTGAATGCCAGAAATGCCTGAAAGGAAAATGGATGATATGTTTTTCTGATTTGTTTCCACTGTGAGAGCATTATGTGAAAAGATCCTTCGTCATCTTACCGTGAGTGATAGAACCAGACAGCAGAATGTAAACTTTTTAATGTGAGACTTGGTGATGGAGTTGCTGGCGTTCAACTTGTTGCTGGGATTGTTCTGTTAAAAAAAAAGGAATATCAGAGGTATAAACACACCCATCTACAATAAACTGTCACCACTGCATAAACACATGTAGGTGGGAGGTGTTTACCTTGTCAAAGGCAGGGTACACTGCTCTGAGCTCAGTTAACCAACCGTACGGCATGTGACCTACAGGGTATGTGGCTGTGAGCACGGCAACAGCCTGGAATGACAAAGACACGGCGGCTATAAGTCATCAGCACGCTGTTGCTTTAACGCTGAATATACCACAGACAGCACATACGGTTAAATTAATGACAGGTGTCTCACAATAGCCAACTTGAAATCCTGGCTGTGTCTCTCACTTTCCGTGATTGTGCGGCTTTTCCAGTTTATAATTGGATAAAGAGCATGGAGCTCTTTTTTGTGCACGGAACAACAACGGGCAGCGGCAGGCTTCACGCAGGAACAGTAGCAACGTGTGGGAATGTTTTCACTCAGTGTAATCATGCCCTGAGTTTCACATGAACATGGTGAATCACCCAAACCACTGGCAGCCAGTGTTGTTGATGATTTCCAGTTCATTCTGGTAAACAGCTATGCATTGTCTCTAGTAGTTGGGGTCTCTGTAAGCCAGAAAGCTCCAGAGGGAGTTTGTTACCATCTGGCATTTCATCTGCACAAACTTGAGGGGCAAATTAGTCCACCTGCTTCATGTGGCTGTAAAGTCCCACTGAATGATCCCTTACATCAAAAATACTACTAGTAGTACCAGAAAGACATTTTTGGCTGCTTTTTAATAAAAGCCACATTGAATAAAGGAAAATAAAATAACTTCTTAAATCAAATATTAAACTTCGTTGCTGTAAGAAACTACATTTTAGTAAAGTTTCCGATTTATTTGATGAATGAATTCCGGGATACACCCACCTTTGTAGCGTCAGTGGTCCCCTTGAGGTCACGTGATACAAAGAGGTTGACGATGGGTCGACTGATGCGCTGAGTGGCCAGGATGAGGGCCAGGGGCCACCAGAAACTCAGCATCTTTTTGATGGTGGCATCGCCCTGCAGGGACAAAAACATTCCCAATAAATCACTTCTAGATACTCTCTAACTCACTCTTAGAAAAGACATCATTCTTATTCAATTGTCACAAACTAACACCGCAGCTCCTTTGGTCCCAGTGGTTAACCCAGAATGTGTTTTAAGTGTCATGTGAAAAAACAAACCCTCATTTAGCTCTGACCCATTTTTCCTTTTTCACCTTACAGCAAAATAAACAGCACTTACCCCAACATCAAGTCCACTGGAGTCTGGGATGTTGTCGTGAATGTTACAGTAGTAACCCACTCCCACAATGCTAAAACGGACCAAGGCACCCATATACAGGGAGAGGATTGGGATGAGTAAAGGCTCCACACATTCCAGGTTGCTGTGGAGAAGGATGGCCACAAACACAATCTGCAGGAAGAAACAAAAAAAGTGGATAAAAGCCAAAAATCATACACTACAAAAACTTGATTTCTCCGCTGCATTACATGAAAAAAGAAATCGAGGACTGGACATTGTTACCTGGGCCACGACATCAGAGATTGAGGCCGAGCCTACGATGACACTGTACTTGTGCTTGAGAAGAATCCCTGCATGAATCCACGCCTTCAGGCAGAAAAAAAGAGCAGACACATTTTAAAACAGAAATCGAAAGCCCTACATTTTCTCAGCCAAAGCTGAATGACGGACTATATAACGTACAGGGGATTAATGCTTGATCAGATGGGTTTAAATCCACCTCTTGCCTGATAAAATGTCTGACTGCTCCTGCAGAGTAATCCTGCTATACTGCACACTCACCATTGCATCCAGCAGAGGGAATGCAGCCAGATATAAGAAAGCCTTTCTTGTCTTGTTCCCCACAGAGTTATCCACGTGGTGGAGCTTATTAATGATGTAGTACCCTAAATCTGTGTAAGCTGTAGAGAGATAAAAAAAAAAAGACGAAATCGCAGTTAAGCAGAGGCTATTTTCATTGTTTCAGAGAGTAGAGGTTGTGACTTTTCACCAGAGACGAAGCTGAAGAAGGGTGCTACAACGATAAAACTTCATGTGGTTTAAATACAACATGTCATCATGCAACCCTTAAACACACACCTATCAGGATATGTAGGATGAATGCGATGGCTCCGGCCGCCACCATGCAGAACACCGCCTTCCTCCGGTCCCTCTTGCTGTTGACAAACACCAAACCCACATTCTTGAAGTCGCTCATGGGCCCAGTGAAGAACTTCATCAGGGAGTAGGCCAGGCCGTAGCTGGCCAGCATTTCAACTGCATCCTCTTTGACTGTGGCTATACCCCTGTTCAGGGCCTGGAACAGATAATGCAGGGGTGGGAGTGGAGAGAGAGGGTGAGACAGCACATAAAAAAAGGAGAAGGAAGACGAGTTCAGCTCTTGACCAGACCACATGACCATGACTTTGCCAGACTTTTATCTCTGACCAGATGGCAATTGCTGGTCCACCACAGCCCTGGAGCTATCGTGCTTTAAAAAAAAAAAAAATACCTGCATGTGCTTGATGCAGAGAATAGAAAACAGACCTTTGGCTGGTGTAAATTAAATAAATAACAGTCAGTGCCGTTGTAATATATCAGCGCAGGGAAACACCCACAACAGTAGAAATGATTTCCATTCACTCTTACCTTCAGAGCAACTACAACAGCTGCCCCCCTTTTCCTTTAGCAGGATTGTGTGCTATTTATAACAACTTACAGAGCCATTACATAAGCTTAATCCTGACATCTCCAAGCTTCTCTCTCACACTATCCGCCCGCTGTCTCCTGGGTAAAGAGGGACGAGCCACCAGTCGTATGGCTGGGAGAGGCCAGACAGGAAAACATGACAATCTCAGGAAATTAAACACACACAAGCTTGCATATTTTTGTTAGGACTTTGCATCAGCCTCCATTCATTACGGACGGCCTGAACAAAACCTTATTCATGTAACCCTGACTCTAACCTGTAACCACACGTCACATCTTAACCCTACACTTCACAAGGACCTCAGAAATGATGTTTGGCCTCATTAGACTTGGTCCTGCCAAGGTCAGTGTTTATGCTGGAAAATGTCCACACACACACACAGACACACACACAGACACACACCCTTCAGTCTGAGCACATGATCCTCCATCATCATCTCAATCATCTTCTCCAAACAGGTCGTGACTCCAATCAAATGACAAACAAGGTTGAAAATGGGAAATAAGCAAATGCACTTAAATCCACAGGAGCTCAGACATTTAGGAGAATTTACGTTTATTTGTTGGTTTATTTATTTGTGTGTTCAAAGCCCCAGAATGATCAGGATCCTTCCTGGGAGTGAGTGTGTTATTGCTGTTGGCGGATCATATCTCCACACAACATCCCCGGCTGCTGCCAGCTAAGCTAACTGTGGCTACATCACACACACACACACCCGCCGTCAACCGACAAAACAGGCCGGAGACCCCCGGTGTCAGTGACGGGTATGAGGGGGTTGGGGAGGTTTATGGTGGTCGGTGATTTCTGCCGCTTCAGAAAACCGACGGCAGCGGTGAAAGAGCCAAAACACGAATCCCCCTTTTTTTTTAAAAAGACGTTAAAGCAGTTGTTAGCTGTTAGCAAAGAGACGCCGCGGTGACCAGAGCCGAATAAAAACACAGACATTACCTGTTCCCCGAGGTCGATGGCAACATTGGTGATCGCCAAAGGCACCAGGAAGCGGATGAGAGGCCAGTAAGGGCTGAGAGATGGAGACTCCACCATAGTAGAAGCCGGGGGGAAGGAGCGAGGGGCATCTGCCTCGGTCTGGATGGATTGACGGGAAAACTCGGAGGTTTTAGCGGCTGGAGGCAGAAAGAGAGAGAGAGAGAGAGAGGGGGGCACCTGTGTTGTTTTCTAGCCCGGGAGGAGAGGTGAGGAGCCGGGGCTGGGGCTGGGGCCGGGGCGCTGCTGCTGCTGCTGCTGAGGCGCGTCGCACTGCTTCGATGCTGCCGAACGGAGGCGAAGGTCAACGGGAAATTCACACGGGCGCATCTTCCCCGCGAATCATCATGGAGACGGTGGGAGGGAGACACACGGTGAAGGAACAGCGCCGAATTCAAGCGAGGAGGTGTCCCGAGCCGGGGCCGCGGGGTGTCGAGGTGGAGGCGGTGACAGGAGGGGCCGGGAGTCGGTTCGTGTCTAAACGCTCCGCGGTTAACGGAGGGTCTGGTGGGAGTCGAGCCCTCACGAGCCTGGAACCCGCTGTCTGCCGCACGTGGGCCTGGCGTTCTGTTCCTGACGTCATCAGCAGGTCTAAATC